AAGGAAAGGAGGAAGGAAGAAAGAAAGAAAAGATTGATTTTACTAAGAGGGCTGAAGGGAAGCTTTTCTCCATCATTTTATTTGATTTCAGTAGAACTGTATTTTTATTTTTGAGTGCTAAAGAGCACAGATGAAACAGAAAAATAAAAGAAAGTGAAAAACCATTTTTAGTTTTGAATTTTTAATGTAGTTGGAAATAGACAAAGATAGAACAAAAACCTACACAAGCAGATGTACAGGTCCATACTTTCTCAGCAGTTGCCTAAAACTGGGTCCAGCCCTGAAGGGGTGGTGGGGCATAGAAGGAAAAGGGGTCTGTTCCATAGCCTGGCCTTTGCCCAAACTGGGTTTACAGTGCGAGCAGCTTCCCTGCTCTGTCCCGAGCCCACTAAGCTACAACAGTTTACTAAACCAGAGGGAGCAGTCCTGTCCCTTTCACTTGATGGGTTTTTTTAAAATGATGCAAAATGTGATCATGGTCTTTGCTTAGTACTTCATCAAATGAAGAGCCCCTCTGAGTTTATGTTCAAGTCAGATAGTCATGTTTGTTCAGGCTGTATTTATGTTTGTATTGGCTCCATCTGTGATTTGGCTCCTAAGAATACAATGGGCAGAGGGCAGTTACCCTGGGGACACTTACAAACAAACAGGCTTATCAATATTTCCCTGTGGACACTGAAAGACCAGGCCAAGGAACCACTGAGAAAGATTCAATAAATAGAAAATATATTATCTATAGTTTATGTTGTGTGCATAATAATGTCTTGTTTATCTGGCAATAAAATAAATAGTAATCATATATAACATATATTACTTTATACTAAGTATTAAGCTAAATAAGTAAATAAACTAAAGGAAATAATACTAAAGTATTTCAAGAGCTAAGGAAATATCAATGGTTTCACATAAAGGCTCCAACTTCAAGGCGGCATAAAACTTTTATTACTATGGCTCCAGGTCTCATCTGCAAAAAGCAAGAGGCCAGATTACAGGACGCTCTATCAGTCTCTGAATCACAGCCTCTCCTTCAGGGATATCTTTTCAGGCTTTGCTTTCTCATTCCAGAGTTTATATCTGACTGTAGCAACAGGTGTATGGGAAGGGAAACACGATCTAAAAGGGCAAAGGCCGCTTCCTCCTTCTGTCTGACGCTCTGCTCACTGGCAGTGTGACTCCAGGCTCCTGGCATGTGCACTTGGGCAGCCTGGCCCAGCTGTCCTGAAACTTGGCTGCACAAGGCTCTTTGGCAGGTGTTTGGCTCAGGGTTTCTTGTAGTCTCCAGCAGGGACCAACTATTTGCAGGCAAATCCAAGTACAATAGTCCCTGTGTGAACATGTTTGGCACCTACAACAGGCTGGATAAGCAGTGGATCACAGCAACTTCCTCTATTCACAGGCTAGAGATAAATATATAAATATCTAATAAGCTCCAAACAAATGCAAATCATAAAACAGAATAAATATATATAAAAATGAAAAGAACAACAGAGAAAAAATAACCTCAACTATCTAGGAAGACTTTTTTGAAAAAGTGACAAGGAAGCTGAGTAGAGAAAGACAGAAATGAGTCGTAGAGCATAGGGAAGAGGACTCGAGGCAAGGAGGACGACGCCTGCAGAGAACCTGGGCAGGAATGGGGCAGGGAGGGGACAACAGATTTCAGAACAGAGAGAACAGTGTGGAATATTGGCAGGGTGATAAAAGAACATAGCCTAAAGTTATATAAATTTAGATTTATATAAAGAACAGTGGGACATGAACCAGGGTGTTATATTCCTCTGTACTTTATATAAATCTAAACTTTGATCTAATTTCTAGTTTTAAAAAAATCCCGAGGGCTGCTGTGAAGAAAATGCACTAAGGGAGAAAAGCTGAAAAGAAACTAGAAAAGATCCTGATGACTCAGAAGAGACTCCTGTTAGCAGAGATTCAGAGATCCTGGCATCATAGAGAAATACTTTGGTAATCAGTTTAATTGTGTGTGATGACAAGTGTTAAGATCAACTTCCAAGTTCCTGTTTGGACATACAGATGGGTAGGGTCATGCCTTCCTGGACTGAGAAAACTGGAGGATGGGAGAGAGGAGTTCAGTAGTTTGTTTATGGATGTATTCAGCTGTGACTACCACCCGGTGAAGTGCGTGGATGGACCAGGTAGGTTATGAGATGTGAGTAGGAACACAGCCGAAGGGTTTGTGGGCTCTGGACACGCATTAATAATCACCAGTATCTTATTTACAGCCATAGATACAAAAGAAGGTGAGGATGCAAGAGAAATGGTTTTTGATTTGAAGTGAATATTAAAGAGAGAAGAGTGATAGAAGGTAAACTAGTGACGTATGGCCCACAGAGGCAAAGATGGAGACGAAAGACACAGTGAGAGCGTTGTCTTCTGTACTGAATGCTGTTCACAAGTTTGATCATAAGAATACTAGTGAGCTGGACAGCACAGTGGTCTTTAGTGGCATTAAAGGAGAAAATTAATGGAGTAGTGGAGGTCTGTCAATTGGAATGGGAAATAAAGTTAGTTTGAAAATGAGGAGAAAAAGACATAGTGTACTCATAAAATAGAAAACTTCATGATGAAGAGAGGAGAGAGGAGCTGGGGATGTAACTCAGCAGCATAGAGCCTGCCTGGCAAGTGCGAGGTCCTGAGTTTGATTCCCAGTACAAAAAAAAAAAAAAAAAAAGGAGGAGAAGGTGAAGGAGAAGGACAAGGACAAAGGCAAGGAGAAGAGGGAGGAGGAGGAGAAGAAGAGAGAAAGTAGATTATTTTTATATAATAAAGAAGTGGTTTATTTTTAAATGATAATAATTTTTCAGATTATAATGGTGGCGAGCCAATCATAAAGGTCTAGGGAGTTGGCGGACTCGTGCAAAGATCCTGAAGACCTGAGAAATTGTGACAGGAAGACTTTCGGACATAACCCAAAAGGATTGGTCTTTGATGTGAAGACAGACCCGTACTTAGTTGTGAGAAGACCAGATACTTCCAGTTTCTCACTAAAGCAGGTGGTGAGATCATCTCTGAGCCAATGGGAGGAAAATGGGCTAGTGATTTTAACAGATTGAAGATATAAATTTATTGGAGAAACACAACAAAGTTGCTGAGTCTATCAGGCAGGAGGTAAAGACTGCGCTTAATATCCCAGTTCCTGATCTTACTGCTCACACTCCACATCCTCTCTGCAGCTCCTCACTCAAAGTGAGTGCATACCATTTTTATATTATATGCTGACACAATCATTCCACCTGCCAACAGCAAGTAATCCCCAGCCAGCTTTGTGAGCCAGTGCCATACTTCACGCCCTTGCAGCCCCCCCTCCTTGCACTGATCTTGCCAACACACCAAAACAACAATAGGCAGAGGTGGCGTTTTCACCTGTTTCTGCCCAATGGGCAGACTACTTCTCCTCAGGTAGAGCCGAAAGCGTACCTTTCTCTGGGAAGTGAGATTCCCCACTGGGTCAACTTACTTCACTTTTGTGAGGAATCTGATGCTAATAATACAGACAAAAAGATGTGCAGGCTATGCCAGAAGTGAGCTATACAAAGATAAAGTAACTACATGGAGGAGGAAAGCAGAGAGTTTACAAGGTACATGAAACTCTATCCCAAGTTCTACAAGTTTTCCAGTATGACATAAACATGTCACTTCAGTATTACTTCCTTTAATTTGTATTTACTTAATAGTAAAATACTGTGAGTACCAAACAAGGTACGTGATACCTCCAACAAAAGCTTTTGGCTGCATCAATGCAGCAAAATATAAGCCATTCACTGAATTCTATAATAAAGACTTGGACAATCAGTTCTTCCATTTGGCTGTGAACATCTAAAAAAAAAAACAATACCTACCACTCCAATGTATTTGTCAATATCTCAAAGACTGGATGTAGAATGAACACATGATAGGCTGATATGAAAAGGCTGTGATAGTCTAATTTTGATATGCAGGTAACCAAAAAATTGATGTGCAGCTTTTAATCGAACTTCCGCTTTGACAGTATCATTTGGAACTCATTCTTTGGTAACAAGATCAAATATGTTTATTTATGGTTCTTGAACAAATAAGAGCATAAAAAGGAAGTCACAGCGAGGAGAATTTTTTTCCCACACAAGAACACTAGAACTTATTCAAATTGAAACATTTTTCTTTTTATCAGCTTAACGAACAACATGATAGGCAGGGGAGAAAATGTGTTAAGTCTTATTTGCTTTTTGCTTTTCCAAATCAGAATTTCATCTTTAATCTTAGTTCAGTTGTAACTAAATCATAAAGACAGAGAAATGTATGTTTCTAACAGGGGAAACAAACTCCTAAACAGACAAATCAACACATTGAATTCTAAGCCTGCCAAGCTATTTTCCACTTTGTCGACAAGGCATCAATCAGTTAACAATCAGGTTGAGGCCCGAAATGTATGAGCAGGATGTCTTTCAAGCTAAGTGTCACCTGTGTCTTACATATAGGTTTTATTTGGCAGTGTGTGAGGACACCCCCAGCCCCAGAAAAAACATTCTGAAAGAGCAGTGCACTTGCATTGGAGACAATAGCAAGGCGAGGCAAGTGAGATTATTGTTTTAAACAGAAAAATAAAAGAAATAAAGCAATCTGTTTGAATATGCCTGTCAACCTTCAAGATACCAGTGACAAGTTCAGTATTTTAAAAAGAAAAAAAAATGATGTTTAAAAAACAGTGAAATTAAAAGAGTAGAAAAGTGATGGAGAAAAAAATAAAGCAACTCAGTCATCTTAAGTAGAATGAGATGCCATGAAATATCAGCTTCCACGTTTTATGGGCTCTGCTGTCCACTATCTGACATTTCTTTGTGACGATTTATGTTCTCAGAACTACTCTAGTGACACTGTCTCTGGGATTATGACACAAAAATCCAAAATCACAGGAATTATAAAAATCACAGCAACATTTAAATTTAATCAACTGGGGAAACAGCTTTACCCATGAAAATCACATCCCAACACAGATTTCCTTTTACCTTGGTCTTTTCACCAACAATGTTCTTTTCCAGTTCTGCTATTTTCCGGTTTAGATGATCCAAAATCTCCTTCTCCTTCATGAGTTCCGTTGTCTCAGATTTTTGCTCTCCGTCCAAAAGGGCACATTCCATATCCAACTAAGGACACAAAACAGAACTCAGCAGCATTTCACCTCTAGGAACATTTGCAGTTGCCCACTCTGAGACACATGTTTAACAGCTAAACATTTCAAAAAGCACAGACTATGGAACACAGAGATCACTCTAGAGAGGGCCAGATTCCCACATAAGGAAGCTGGAGGACCCAGAATACATTTGCTAAGAAAACTGGTTATCCTGTCTTGTAGCTGGGTTACTCCAACCCTCCTCCTGCCAACTTCTTAAGCGTAGGCACAACCACCTTAAGAGAAGCTATGTCTTTGTCACTCCGACTATGAGTGAAAGTTAGCTCAGCCCAGCACTTGAGCTCTGCATTCCTAGCAATGCCAGCAGGAGGGGCTTCCAGGGTCCATGCACAAGATGACAGGTGAGCAGACCCCTTACAACTTATGGACCATCTGTGAGTGTGGACATTCCGATCCCCTTAGAATCAAATGTTCACTCCATGGTAGTAACATAAAAGTTGTCATTATCTTCTACTATAGCTAGAATATCTGTCTGCTCCATGTTTTGCAAATCTCTAGAAAGCCTGGTTTATATTTAATCTACATGTGATTCCCTTCTATAATGCTAATATGATATCTGACTCATAGTAAGCATGCTCAGAAAATGTTTCTTTCATTTCAACTCAAACACCTACATATACGTCAGATAACAGATCTTGTGATCAGAGAGCACATATAGTAGTAGTCGAGACAAAATTGGCTGCACATAAATTACATTAAAGAAGACTTTGTATGTGTATCTTGTGTTTAAAAAATGGAAAGAAAGAGGAATGCCAACAAGGGCATTTTTTTACCCTATCCTGATGATGTTACCCTCTATGTATTTGTTCCCCAAGACCTGTGTTCTCATGAGCAGAAATATTTTTAAATTAAAGGAAACATGTTTTTACCTCTCTGGAAGATTCATCCATCTGATCGTTTATGTCTTTGATTTTTTGTTTAAGCTCTTCAAGGTTGTTCAGGATTACTATCCGGGTGTCCTCCATTGCAGCCAACTCCTGAGCCCTCTGTTCTTCACTCATACCTTCTGGGGTCTGTGATTAATCAACAGATATGGATTACTCATACTTTAGTTCCAGGATTTCCTGGTTTCACTTGTGAACCAGCTACAGGCCTAATGTTCCATCATCGCCATGCCCACCTAAATGCTAAACGCATCTCTAGGCTAGTTTAGGCAGATCTCTGACACATTTACCAGACAGCACTCGATCTTCAGCAGGTGCATTCTCAGATTAAGCTCAGACTAACCAACCTCAATTCACAAATTCATATTCTAAAAGAACTAAGAGGTTACACAGATAAGGAAGCCGTAGTATATAAAGACTGAAGTGGCTTCTCCAATGTTACAGAAAAAATTCAGGACAGCAGAGAACTTGAACCAAGACATGACGTCTTCCTTGAGAATCACTTCAGTACACTGCTGTCTTTAGCTTAAACTCTACATTCTCTCCTGTCTCCTCTTAACTTTCTAACCATACAGTGGATCTCACTGATAGGGCTGTCTATAAATAAACATCCGTGCTTATTTATTATGTTTCTAATACAAGGTGGAAAAACAAGAGTATATTACATTGGTGGGCCCCAAAATGATTTAAAACCACATATTCAAATTTTGCTAGTTACTGTGTTATTTTTGTATTAGTGCATCATTTAAAGTTTGTCATAAAGACGTTCTTTCTACATAATATTTAAGATAGTAGCCAAGCCAAATGAGCTTTACAATTGAAAACAACATTAGCCAGCATTTATTCCATGAAAAAACTGAGTTCCTGGAAAGAAATGAGAAAGCCAGCAAACAAATTATGGGAGAAAAGAAATACTTAAATATTTGAATAGAGTTAATGACAAATGCTCAGGGAAGAAAGCATTATTGTGGATCATACACATGGCCCAAATATGACTACATAAGGATATGTTACATTGAAACATTCTCCTCTTTTTAGAATTTGAGGTAGCTCTGTTGGGTATCATCTAAAGGAGACCAGACTTTTGTTAAGGTAAGAGATTGACAGTATTGGTATATTAGTTATTAATTTTATGTTTGAAAATGAAGTTTTTAAAATAAATCCTTAGATAATTCCACAATTAAAACATAGAAAGCAAAAGTCTAGTTAAGTAAATTACTAGAGATTCCTCATTAATGATTAAAAAGAATATTCAAATTAACCAAAGAAACCTCTAAAATGTAGTATATCTTAATACCCTCATTTGATTTATTCATCAATCTTAATAATTTTAAGAAAATATTCATTGTGCCATATTCTATCTTTATTTTGCAGCTCTGTAAATAGATTAAATGATTGAGAATTCAGTATCTCAGGTTAGTTAGAACAAATGAGCCTTCCAAGCTCTTGACATTTAGCTTTTTAATTGTCATCTTAAATACAACATCTTACCAACTAATGAAACGATTGCTGACCTTTTTATTACAAACAATGAAACTCATTGTCTTAAAATGTGGGTGCTGACTTTAGGCCATGAGGAATGTTAGTAACAGTGAATGGCATTCCAAAATCACTGAGCAGTAATCCTACCAGGAAGGCCTCATGAAGGCCAGTATCCTGTTGGGTCAACACGACATATTAAGTTTCTACTTCCAACAAGGTTAAAAATATCTCTCACTGGTGGAAGCAAACCATTAGGAAAAGACAAAACAACTGAGCAACCTACAAAATTATAAACTTCAGAAGTAACTGGGGACAACAATTAGCAGTGAAAACTTTATGTTTGTAACTAAGTTTTTAGAAAGTATCACAGTAAGTGTATTTAATAGATAATTTAAGAGACTGCTTATAGTAACGTGTCATCTAGGAAATATCTGTGAGATTTTTGTTGTTTGTATAGGTAAGAGAATCTTTAAGAGGCATTCTAAACTTAATGGTTTGTAATAGAATGGTGTTAAAATATTTTAATCATTAACCACAAAAGAAAACCAAAGAGAATCAAGTCATAGCAGCCACTGAACAGTTTTAATCTTACTGATGGCGTTAGATTTTAAAGATAATGCTTTTCACTTTAATTTCTCTGGGGTTATTTTTAAAGTAGTATCATATCTTAATAACCACATTGTACATGCATGTGCATCCTTGTACCATCTTTCAAGTAACTTGACTCACTCGGAGAAGAGAGGCATAAGACAGGGTAGGGACAAGATACTGTCCACTTGTCCCTCTTTTTTTGTTTTTCAGATCACTTTAGAATGCAACCAAAGGAGGTTAAAGCACAGGGATTTCCATTGTAGCTAATACAACTGCTATAAAAAAAATGCTATAAAAGATGGTGGAAGCTACTCTGAGTACATCAGCTTTTAAAAGCCTTAGGTGGTGATAGGGCCACAAAGGCTGGTGAATTTCCAGCACATTACCATGGTCCTGTGCACCTGAGTGTCGGGTAAAGTACAGGAAGTGATGAAAGTACACACTGCATGTTCAAATCTCAAATATTTGTTACAGGAAAAGACACTTGCTGTTCATTTTCCTCAAAATATTCTCCTTTTCTTCAAATACACTTCCTCATCATTCCTGCCACTTTCTGAAGCAGGTCTGGAATCTTTTGTGCTCACGCTGGCAGCCCATACACAGCAAGTCCTCTTTCATGAATGTTTTCATGAGGTGTGATCAAAAACACGGTGACTGCTCCTATGGAGCGCCATCCAGTGGAAAGCCAGACATCACGCGTCCTCATCACCCTACTCATGGGATCTGGCACCATTCGACTTCTGGGTCTCCCCAGAGTCAAAATGACCAGGAAAAGCAAGTGTTTTCAATCAACCTAGAACATCAAGGGACCAGTGTAACTAAGACACAAAAGAGGACTTTCAGAACTGTTTCAAAAGTGGCCAGAAGGGTAGAGCAAGTGTGTTTGAAGTGAGGGAGAATATTTGGGGAGAGGGATTAACAGATGTGTAATATTTTAAAATTTAAACAGTCACCATATTTTTAGATCATAAATTCCAGATTAGTAAATCTCAGGTTTCCTAAATATCATAAAATCTTTCTTTACCTAAATAAATTTTTCACATTTTTTTCTCCTTCATTTGGCTTATAACCTGTAAATCAGCTAACAAATGCTGTCTACTTTGTCAAACGATTCCTCATAGGGCACATTGGGACGGAGACACCTAGAACTTCCAAAATAAAAAGGAGACTACTTGTTTTGAGTCTTCTTCAAGTCAATATATACCTGTCTCTCAAAAATAGTAAGAGAGAACTCATTCCTGGAAGGCCACAGCCTCTTGCTTGCATTCTAAGCTACCGCTAAGGTAGCCCGCAGCACCGTGGGTGCGTCTCGGCTGGAAAGGACACAGTCTTGTCCCTTATGACCACGGATGCGGTGCTAAGCTCCAGACGCTTCCTTTTCCACAAGAGTATTCTTGAGCAATTAAAAACATGTAGTTGACTCTATCTGTTTACACCCCATAGCTTTCTCTTCAGCTTTCCTTAGGAGGAAACTTTGGAGAGCATGTAGCTCAGTATTTTTAGCAAAAATGAGGAAAAAGCAGACTCCCCTGGATAACGTTCCACGTAGTAACTGGCAGAATTTAACACCACGATTTTTTTTTTCCTCAAATACTCAGTTTATATCCTTTTGCAGCAAATTAACTGATGTTTTTCACTGTCACTGCTCTGTGACCAAGACTGCTGAGATATTTGGAGTTAAACTTAATTAACCATGTTTATTCCTAAATCAATCAGCCTATCTTATACATGTGGTGCTTATTTTTTATTCTTATTTTGGTGCTCTAATTTTAGTCCAGTAAAATATATATATTTTATTGTAAGCTTCTTCAAATTTTTTAGAAAAGGAGTTTTTTCATTTCACATGGAAAAATTTTTAACCTGTGTGAGAAAAATAACACCAAAAAAATTATCTTTGAATCCCACTGAAGAAATCCTCATTAATTTGGAGGACATTTAAAAATCATATAATGAAAAAATACAGGTGAAAAAACATATAATGAAAAATACAGGTAATAATAAGGGCTACAAATAAATGCAACTGTTATATGCCCCCTCCAAAACATCATGAACAGAATCAACAGCAAGACCATTCATGACAAAATGATTAACTGAGATACAACAAACAGGTCTCATAAGCTAAATGAAACAATTTCCTAAAAATAGATCAAAAATTACAAATAACAATTTAAAATATGAAAATAATGCCCTACTTCATATGTAATGAGAAATCAGAACATCTATCAATTTGGCACACTGAAAAATTCTGTTAATTTGTAATGTTGGCAACTGTATGGATAACAACATACAAAACTGTCAGCCAGAAGTATAGTCTTTTTGGAACTGTAACAATGAATAATACACAGACTCCTTGACCTAGCAGTTTCATGTCAGGTAAGTGATCCCACAAACACATGTGCACAGATATAGCCTACAATTTTGGCTGCAAAAAAACTGGAAACAACTTATGAACAATAGAATTCTAACCTACTAAAAAGAATGAGGTAGAGCTTTGTCTACTAATAGGTAAAGATGCCTAAAACTTTTAGTGAGGTAGAAAACACAGAATATTCTGTATGTATGTGTCTACAACTACAATATATAGCATATATGCAGAGAAAGTATTAAGAAGGCAGGTAGGACACTTTTTATGTTGATTTCTCAACTGTACAACTGGGAAAGAGCGAGAAGAGAAGAAACTTTTGTTTTGGCTTTTTAAAGTGGCTACAGTAGTTTTTATCACCCAAACTGGTGACTTTATAATAAACACTCTAATATGCGGCACCTTTTCTGGCTAATTATCTTTTAACTGAAGCTCCCTGAAGAACATCAGGAAAATTTACAATGTAAAATTTTTAGTTATCAGACCAAAACACATCATGGCCCTCGAGGCCCCGAGTCCTGGTCTCTGCCCCACAGCATTACCTTTGGTAGGATACTTAGGTAAGAGGACTCGCTGGCAGCTTTCAGGAAGGCAGAGGTGGGAGGCGGTGGGGTCCTGGTGAGGTCCCCGAGCAGTTCATCGTTCCTCATGCTTCTGGGGGCGAGGAGGCTGGCACTGCTCTGACTGAGGTTCCCCAAGCCCCCCAAGTCAGCGTCATGGAGAGAGCCCTTCTGGTGACACCGGTATCTTGCGTCAGGGCACACCAGGGCTTCTTCAAACACGGACTCCTCATCGGAGAGCTGCAGCTTCTCCAGCTCTTTGTTGATTTTCTGCACATCTGCCACCGTGGTGCCCGTGGACAGGCGGCCCTCGGGCTTTGTGTATTCAGCACAGAGACTGAGGATGGTCTCCAGACGCTGTCTCTCCTGGAGCACACAAAGAAGGGCAAGGTCAGCGAGCCTGTGCAAATGGTGACAACTCCAAACACAAAGACCACGGAAGAAGCTGCTGTTTTGATTCCAGGCATCAACCCACACTCAGCTGAAAAAAAATTTCCATCATCTTTCCTTTACAAATCCAGATGGAATTTTCGCTTTTAATGCCTGATTTTCCTCCTAGAAAAGCCTGGCTGTCTTTATCTGCACTGTATTCCCAAGGTGGACTCTCTCATCACTCCGAAAGTCTTCTCTTGATTTATCAAGTCTCCATACACCCGAAAGACTTTTAAAACCTCTATTCCTTCCTGTCTTCTATGTATCTACCTTCAAAAATACCTAGCTCTTCTGTCACTACAAATGTAACATACTTAAAATTAATACTCCTGTTAAGATATAGAGAGGTTAAAAGGCACTTAAACTTCAGAATTTTTTATGCCTGGCCATTATGTCTTTTCCACTAGTTTCTCATACAGATAAACAAAATTATTAAAAAGTATGAATGTTGCACTAAAATGAAAGCCATTTCATGTCAAGTCCAGACAAAAATTGCTTAAATTCTGAGATCATTAATGTTTAATTAATTTAGCTAGAAGATAAAGTAGTAGTTCACTTGTTTTTTAAAAAATCTATCTCTTTTTCTATCTATCTACATAGGCCATTAATGTTTATAATAACAGCATCACCAGTTGTCCCCTCATCAGTCTTCCCATGCAAAACAGGCAAATATTTATAGTTCTTAACTTTAAGTAAATTTATTACATTTTGAGCAATAGAAAATAACTTACAAAATGCTTCTTCTAAACCTAGGCAGCACTGGTTAAGATTGGGAACTACAATATCTTTGCTTTTTATTTTAATTCCAAAACCAAAAATGAGGGGGAAAAAAAAAGACCATGTATTATAATTATATTCACAACATTGAAAAGATTTCAGAAATATTTGAAAAATATTTTTCAAAATGCTTATTAGTAATAAATAGAAACGTATTAAAATAGCACTATAGTGTTTTTTATTGCAATAGCAGCTAATTTGTAAGATAAAATTCAGAAAGTTTTCTATTAGTTAATAACAAGAAGAAAAGCCAAAAAGGAACAGACCAATCAACTCCTTGGTTTTCATTAATTGTATTAATTAAATGACCAGTTAAATGACAGGTATATATGACTGATGCCCTTCTCAACCAGACCAGTATCCTAGTTCCCATTAACTCCCACCTCCCTTTCACTGTCTGAACATGTGGACTCCAGCTGTGGCACCGTCCTCATGGTCTCCTTGCAGGACAGGCGAGCGCAGTTTCAGGACCGCGTCCCTGGCTCCCTCTGCACCCTGTCTATCCAGGAGCCCGGTGCTTATATACACCTGCAGCTGCCACCACCTGCCAAGCCCTACCCATCTTAGCCTTAAGCGGGGGAGGGGGATACAGCATGTATTATCTTATTTTAAACGTTTCCCAAATCAAAGAAAAGTCAACATAGGAGTACGTAAAACCATGCTGCAAGGGCATGGGTGAGGACAGGGACAAAGGTTATTTGAACCCCTTCTCCACAGTTTTTCCCACGTTAGAGGTTAATTTCCAAAGAATAGTTCCTTTCAGCTAGCCAGGCAATTAAACTGAAGCATCTAAACTCAGTCTTTACTACTCTTCATCATGTTTATATCAGCCCTGCCATGCGTACCTTTGTGATTATCAGAAAAAGTTAACAATTTTCCCTTATCAGGGTTCCAATAAATGGCACTGTCTTCAAAAGCATGTAGTTACTTCTGCCTAAAACAGAATCCATAGCAAAATTCCTCCGTATCTTCTTCCCAAAATAGCTTCTTTCGCTGCCAGTGCTATTGCTTAATTCCAGAAGGAATAAATGATCCTGGCCTGCAGATGACTGCTATTTCAAACAGTGAAACACAGCATTCAAAGGCTGTGAGCAGGAAGTTTGGTCAACTGGTGTCTCTCTCTATTCTTATCACCTCATTCACAGCCAATCTGTTGAGGCTTGAATCACACACATGCAGCACGGCTGCCCACAAGTCTAAAGGGAATCCAGGCCGTGCTGAGACACACTGGGCCCAAAAAGCTAAATAAACTGACGTTGAGAAGTACGTCAGAAGAAAGTCTGTAAAACATTTCAGAGAGTGCTTCAAGAAGCCTTTTAAGGAAAACCCTGAACAGAGTTATCGTCACAAGAACAATTTCCCTTTAGTTCTCTTCATTCTGGTGTCTTATTCATTCCAGCCCATCACATCACCATCTTCTATCCTCCAGGACCCAAAGTCAGGGCAATCATTCCAGACCAGGACTCTCTAAGGACCAAAGACAGCACTATTACCAGTTACGACGGGGCACTGCGCACAAGCTGGGATTGGTCCTGACACTGAAATGCACAACCCAACTCCCAACTCACCATCCCTGGAAGTGTTGCTTGGTGACCTACAAAGTCTCAAAGGACCTGTGCCCTTTGAGATCTACAGGCCTTAGCCAGTTTTCCAAATCGGTAATCTAATGCTCATTTTCTTGAAAAGCCACCAATGCCAAGCCTAAATACTGAAATGATCCAAAAATTTAATGCTAATAATTTAGAAAGTAGCTCACTTTGAATCAAATTATTGGAAGTATATTTTTTGTTTTGTCTTTTTCTCTACTTTTATAACCTACATTTATAAAACAGAGCTTTGCAGGAGACACAAGATCTTAGAAAATGCACCTGGAAAAACTGGTGTGGATTTTTCTCCTTAGAGGTTAAAAAAAAAAAAAAAAGTTGTGGGTTGGGGATGCATTTTTTAACCTCAGATCTTTCTTCTTCAGAGGAAGGGGTCTGACTGTGAGACCCCGCAGCTTGACTGCTCTCCTCTCTTAAACCATGTAGTCCCTTTGAAAGTAAACCCTCTCTGCTCTTGGCTACAGGACTGTAAAGTAGACTGCATCAACAAATAAATTATGTAGAAAACCAACCCCCAATATCTAATCACAAGTGAAGTCCTTGTTAAATACTTTCGTTATTTAATTTGTTGAATCATTTATTACATACAACAAAAAGGGCCAACTGCTAATGGAGACATGATTCAATTGAAAGGAAACTTTTTCCTTGTTAAGAGACTTACTGTGACTTACTGTGACTTATTTCTCTCTTCTGTAACCCAAGGTATTCAGTGTCTCTGTAATTTTCACTTCAACTAAGATCTATTATGTTATTGCCTACTAATGTGCTGGTGATGCTCAGGTGAAAATATTTCTATCCCCGAATCTTTTAACAAGAGGCTCAAATAAACAGCAGTGCATGGTGGCACACGCCTGTGCTCCCAGCACTTGGGAAGCTGAGGCAGGAAGACCGCTGTTAGTTCAAGGTCAGCCTGAAATACAGTGAGACCCTGTCTCAGAAACAAAAACAAAACAAAGAGTGGCACCAATAAGTGGTCAGTTACAAAAACAGTAATAATAGAAGTATATAGTAAATCTGTATGTAAACTCTATAAATTCAAATATACAAAAATTACAGAAAATAAATCTGGGTCCACAAGGAAACACATAAGTCTGTCTGGTGTCTTGTGACCATGTGTGAGCAGAGCGTTTACATGGAAGAAGCCCAGAAGCAAGGATATAAAGGATGCTAAAGAATGTCAAAGCATGATCAGAGATCACATATATGATGTGGCAGGAGTACAGAGTGTCTGAGGAAGAGGGGACAACAGTCTTCCCCCTTGTATCAGGACTTGAGTGACCCCAACAGTTCCAAATAATTGGAAAAATATGTAGTGTGTGCCAGGAAGAGTCACAAACCCTGGTCCAAAGGCGAGTAGCAGAATGGGAAGAGGCAGCGCTGGCTGTACACACACTGAATTTCCAGGAGTCCATCAATACCTGCTGCTACCGCAGGTAGGACAGACCAGAGGAAACAGAATGGATGGCTACAAATTTATGATGATGTATTTGTTTTTAGAGATAAATCCCTTGGGGGCAGTAACTGGGTTTTATATCGCTTCTTTCTAGGTAGAGGGCAAAATTGCTCTTCCTTCTGCCTCCAAACTAGATATGGCCTTCAGACTTGCACTGGCCCATGCAATATGAGGAACTGTGACTGTCACTCCTGCATGAACAGCCAGAGGATGAATCACTGCATGCCTTACTCTGAAAAGGCAGAATAAGCTTCCAGTACTGCTGGCGCCCTCAGCCTGAGTCCTGAGTGCGGAAATGTGAAACAGAGGCCTCAGTGTGCCCACACTGGCCATGACATGTGAGGGAGACACAGCTCTATGTTGTTTTAAACTCTCTAAGCTATATATTTTTTTCTTTTGTTTTTTTCCCACAGAAACTTACTATGACTGATAGGCTGTGTTTCAATTTAGGCCAAAAACTACCCAGAACTTGGAGAGGAGGGACTCGAAGATCCTGCTAAAGCAATTTCAGTTATTTTACACTGTGTTATGTTTCGAGTCCAATATATGCACCCATCCAAAAGGCTCCCGTGTTGAAGATTAGTTGATTTGAGACATGACTGGATTATGAAGACTCTAAAGGGAGATCACAATCTGATGGAATTACTGGGGGAAGAAATGGGGTGACTCCTAGTTGAAGGCCTGGATCCCGTGAGTAACCATTCATGTGACACCTTGGAAATATCCCTTCCTTGGTGCCTCTTTTCCCCTTGCTCTCCTTCAGGATGCAAGGAGTTAAGCAGTGTCGTTCCTCCTCACCCTTCAGGATGATGCTCTGCAGCTGGCTATGCACTGACGCTCTGCAACTCTGACCCAAAATAAATATTTTTCCTTTGAATTGTTTTGTCACAGTTACAGAAACTAATACACTATGTAGTAAAGAATTTTGTTTCCTCCAAAGAAAGCCTTGACCTTTGCTACTGATTTCTGGAAGGCAATCTATGGCATACTGAATAGGAGTGTCCTTGTTTAGGGCAGTGTCACCAAACCTGATTAATTTTAGGGTAAGGGTTGGACAGTCTAAAATAATCAACGTGATTTAATGTGGAAACCTTGGATCA